TCAATTTCAAATTTGTGCATATTTTAGATCTTAGAGAACAGTAGTGCTAGAAAAAATCTTACAAAGAAAATGGTCTAGAGAGGTTAAGTGGATTTCTCAAAACTACAATTTGGTAGCATTATTCATGTTTCTGGATTGTCTGGATATCTCTAATTTAGGTTCTGTTAACTGTTTTTATAAAATTTTTATGAGTATGGATGAATTTAATGTGAATTGCTGAGAATGACTTTGGATAGAAGCGTAGCTTACTCATTTTTAATATAATACAAAATCTCTGGATGAGAGACAACTAGAAAAAAAATCTTTAATTAACTCATGTCTACAATACATTGGCAATACAATGGAATGAAGTCAGGGAGTTAGGGAAGGAGAAAATTATATTTCTCTCCCTGCATAGTTGGGCAGTAAATATCCCTCCTTCACAGTGCTTGCATTTCATATTCTCTTTTAATATTAATTTTCTTTTCTATTAGAAACAGTTATGTTTGAATAGACAGTTAATAAGTTCTAAATCCTATTTAATGTTTCCCGCAATGTTACTTCTTTTGGGGCTTTAGAATGCAACAAGACAGGAAGACTTATAATGCTTTTTTTTGCTTCCAGGCAGCAAACTGACAAAATTGATATGTGGTATTATCTCCAATTAGTACCAATAAGTTGCTATTGACATTGCATTTAAATTTTTTTCATGTCCAGTAATGGCATTAATTTATTCATCCAACAAGTACTTGTTGAGCTCCTCCTCTGTATTAAACACTGTGGTTATCCTTTAGGCTCCAAAACATGTTATATTTAAGAGGTTCTCCTAAATGAGACCAGAGTTCAAAAGAACTCAAAGCACAAAGTCATTCCATAAGGAGCTAAAACTTTTTCTGTGGAATTTTAATGTGTATAAAAACACTTTGCAAATGATTACCTTAAGACTCATGGGATCTAATTTGATAGTAGGAAAGCAAAAAGTCAGTCATATAGTTTCCCAATTCCCAATGTAAAGGCTCAGAAAATAAATCCTAAATATTCTGTCCCTTTACAAGTCAAAGTTCTGAACTGTCTAAGCCCCCACAATGGAAAACATTTCTATACATTATAGAAGTTTAATAATAAATATAAAATATGTAAGCTTATACTGGTGTCCTACTAAGATAATTTTTTTCTCTTTTCACTTCATTTTGTCAAATTAATGATTGTCATAAAATATGTGACTGTCATAGTTTTTCACAGGATAATACAGCAAGACATGGTAAATTCAGTACGTATTCTTATTAGTAAGCTTATAATAATTAGTATATATATTCTTACAATAATAAATATTTAAATATTCAGAACATTGATGGTAATAGCTTTTTGATATTTTGAAAGAAAGCAGGAATTGGTCTGTTTCTTTTATAGCTGCAATTTATCCTCAGGCATAATGATTTGTTTTTATAATCAGCAGCAAGCTCAATTTGTTGAATCAATATATCTTTCAAAGATATCCTTACAAAGAATTGTGATCCACAGGATTTATTAAGGGAATGGCTGAGAACCATATAATTTTTCAATGGTTACATTTCACTTAAACATAGTGAAAACTCATTTCTTTCTGCTAAAGCTGAACTAAAATATTGAAACCAGAAGGAAGGCTGACAAGTTTGATGTTTTGTTTACAGTATAGCTTCAAAAGTCAAAGTTCACTGACATCCTAAATAATGCCGGTAAGACATTCACATTTATAGGAAAGAAGCATTCTGCTATAACAAATGTGGAAATTTGATGAAAACACACACAACATTAAGAGAGATGGGACCCTCAGATTCTCATCTTAACTATTGTCACTGGCTGTGGAGTTCGCATGTCTGTGTGTGAATATCTTAAATAAATAGTATCTCTGAATCTAGTTAACTCATAAATGGGAAGAAAAGACTGGCTTATAAATATGCTGATTACTTCTAGCCCTAAAACTCACATATCAGTTCTGAAGTGTTCAGTTGACACAAATTCAGAAAACTTATTATTCTGGGTCTTGGTAGTGGGTTTTCAATATACAGCCACAGTCCAAGGGAAAAAAAAAAAAAAAGAACCCAAATTCATAGTTAGCAGTAGATGCAACTCTCTTTGACTCTTTTAAATTTTTTGAAATTATTAGCATCCACCTTAGTAAGGGTAGATTGGAATGACATTGAATGCTTTTCAGCTTTCAGAAAAATCAGTTACTTTCTAAACTTGTAGTACTTTCTAAACCTAGTTACTTTCCAAACCCAAGTAAACTTAGGTGCTTACTTTTTATAGATCAAAAATGACAAACATAAAGATGTTATAGTGAATTTTGACTAAGCTTAACAATAAAGATATGCTTTGGTTAGTTGAGACCTTTCGTATTTTCTAGGATGGCATCTCGACTTGACATACTATTTTCTGTGAGGAACATAGAAATAATATGTGAACAGAAGAGACAACATGAGCCAAACTATGTTGGATCGATATGAGGATACGCAAAGTTTTACAGCTCAGATATATGTTAAGTAGCTAAACAATTTGGGGAAATTTGCTATCCCTTTCTTTTCCATTAAAACCATGATGACTCATACAATTTCCATTGAGAGTATGTGCATAAACATTTGAGTCAGGATGAAACGGAAAAGGAAAGATTTCCTTTCTCTGTGTTTAATTTAAGCTTGCATTAAGACAATGATAGTGTGTTTTTTTCAGCTTCATCTGTGGTAGTGGTTAGGGTCTAACATAAACACTAACTTGTTCAGTCACAGTAGAGAAATGACTCTGGGGGAATAAATTCTCTGCTCAATGCAGGACTCTTCCTTGTCTGAACTAGCAGTTCCAGTGCTAAGGAGATCTCATTTTCCTACAAAGCTGTTTTAATTTCTGGAATGCTTCTTCTTATGGAATTTAAATTTTTTTTCTCTCTAACTTCTATCTGGCATAGAAGATGGGGTGGTTTGAGTTCTTGCTAATGCAACATTAAAATAAGACTGTCAGAATAAGTTCAAAATAGATCAAATGGTATCGTATTTAGTTGTAGAAATACTAACTCTTTTGAATGAAGTTTTTTTTTTTGTTAGTTTTTTGGACAGATTGGTGGAACTATAAAGTGGTATTTAGAGCGTTGTTCCACTTTTTGGAAAGTTGGTGAAGCCTTGAAAGTGAAATCTTTTTTGAGCAGTTCTGGCTTTTCCTACACACCCTAGCCTAGATCTCCTTTAGTAGTCCAGCTCCTTCGACTGTCGTGAGAGAATGCGTATAGGTGCATGCAGAGAGTCTGGGATTAAATGCCCAAAATTTCATTAGAATATGGATAAATTGACGTTTGATTTTTCAAAGGCCTGGTGCTCCCGAAGATCCTTAGTCAATATGCCACTGTATTGAATTTTAAAGTGAAGCTAATGAAACATTGGCATGTCCAACTAGTCCTCTAGGCTATGTGGCACTATCACTGTTGAAAAAATCAGAGAAAAGTTGCATGTGGTGGCAGTTTGAATTTTCAATGCTGAGTTGCATTTTATTATTCAAGCCAGCAGTAGATGCAGTTGAGGTTCTATGTTTTCGTTTGTAGCGTGATTGTGTGTTGTTTCTTAGTGGAATCTGCTCACTCTTCAATTGTTGACAACGAGTGTTAGGTTTGAAACATGTTGGGATGGCAGTGTAATTGTTGTTATTTCGTTGTCCTAAACGGACTATTTGGGTGGCAAAAAGGTCGTATCTCGCTTTAAGTTGCGCCGGCGTGCACTATTGTGTGGAAGGATGACACTTTTATAATTACTGGGTCTCAGAAAAAGCTATTGCAAATTGATATGCAGGCAATCATTAAAGATTTTTAGTATCAAGTCGGTCAAGTGTGATTGTGGATAGTGGTGTGATCATCGTCTGCTGGCCGATTTGGTAGATTTATTCTGTTTTTTCTTTGTGGCAATTGGAGGGAATCGAGTTACTTATGTTTGTTATAAAGTGAGTATTACAGGAGTGTTGGGCATGGTGTGAACTAAGGGTTATGTTTTTCTTAAGTGTTACTGACATAATTCTCCAGGTGGCCTGAGTGAATTCAAACAATTGATTATTGGTTAAGTAAGTTCCGTGGAATACGCGTTAGACTATACCAATCCTTGAGGAATAAGGTGGGCTGTCTTGGCAGTGCATATCTTGAGGATGAAGAACAGACAGTGTGATAGGTCTGAGTTTGCTTCCTGAATAGAGACAGTTGCTTCATATCTTTCTATGCACTATTGGAATTATATCTCGGCGTCCATCACAAATGTGGTAAACAGTTAAAAATTAGGTCAAACAAATTATCCATTTGGTTGAAGTCAAAAGGTTAGAATTCAATTCTAATTACATTCTTCCCGTGTTGTTAAGCATGTTTGGAAACTGGAACTATAGGAATTATAATATTTTGTATAAAAAATCTTGTATGTATTACAGATGTAACTTTCATGTTTCAAGTAGAATTTAAACGAGAGCTGAGTCTTGTGGTAGGGCATCAAATGTACATGTGACAGGCGACTACAGCATTATGGGTGTAAAAGAATGGTTGTACCTGAGAAATGGATAGTTGGAAGGTATAGAAGTGTGCCTTTTCATAACATAATTTAGGTATATACAGGAATAGATTGTTAAAACCACATGTGGATGATGTTTGCTCCATGAGGCATGAACTCTTGAAAAAAAGTTTCCGCTCAAAATATACATGTTACCCAAGATGAGGGGCTTGATAAAATGTAAATTGTGACACAAATCAAATGCGCTGTTTCCTCTGTCGCTTATCCTCAAAACTTGGATGATATTGTAGCAAGATATTTACTAAAGTGATGAAAGATTTTAATTGCCAAAAACCATTTGCTCTAAATTAACGCTGGAGACAGATTTATGATGGTCCTGGAGCCTTTGTTACATGCATACACAAGCCAAGCATGGTGCATGTGAATTCCCAAATGCTCGTTGGGAAGGATTGACTGAGTGAGAGAGCTTCCTGATTGCCTCTAGTTTTGAAAGTCACTACAGGTAATTAAATGTTATTGTTGTTTGTCAGACTGATTCCTTTCAGTGATATTTTTTGCTAGTTCACTGGGAGAGTTAATAATCTTCAATGAATGAATGAATCCTGTCTGGAATATGCTGTTTATGAAATTCTCTATAGTTTTTGCCGCCTAGGAATTGGTTCCCAAGCACAACAGGGTACTGACCAGCCCAAAAAAGGAGTTGTAACGAAGGCTTTTCTGTTGGATGTAATCCTTTGTGGAATGTGAGTTGTGTCAAAAGTAAGAGATAAAATTTGGCTGCCAAGTTAGAGGGTATGGGTGGGCGATATCAAGATGTTTTGTCATCGTCACGGTCTATGTTCTCTGCATGGCCGCTTGCTCCCAATGTAGGATGGTATGGATTTCATTAGATTTGGTCTTTAGGTGCGTCGATTGTAGTATACTTGATCGGTCGCTGGCATTGTTCAGGGTGTTCCCGAGCTTAGCTGGTACAACCGCATGGCACATCGGTCATTTCGTCGGGTTCTGGCTGTGGCGACGCTTCCAAAACTTGAGGGGGTTGTGCTCTTGACTCGGCAAGAGAGCTCATACGAGTGCACCTGAGTATGGCTCGAGTCGTCGGCGGTAAGTTAGAGTCAGATTGAACAAATGCTCAATGCACCTCTTCTGGGGAGTATGAGTTGGTGATTCCAAATTCATCCAAATCCATTTCTGGAAGGGTTGGCTCTGGGTCTGCTGGGTAGAATTAGTGAGATCCAACTGATATTCGGTGTGATGTATCAGGACCGCGTGAGATTTGTTGTACAGTGACCGGTCTGTTGTGAGTGACATCCTTGGATGTTGAACATTGCTTGGCAGGATGTAAGGTCAAAGGTCTGCCCAAATGGCCACACCCACACCAGAATAGTAGTTTCATTAAAATAATCAGTTTTTGTGGAAAAAAGAAATTTTCATTTTCAGTACTGAGCTGGCAGACTCCATTTGGGCTGAAGATCCAGCTATTGTGGCTTGATATAATAAGCAGACATGCCATGAAGCAGCCCAGGATAATGCAGAAATTAAAAATGGGCGGAGAATTCCTTTGGATGTTGATGTCATAATTTTTTCTATGGAACAGAGAAAGATAGTGGAAAGTAAAAAGGATAAAGAGAAAATCATCAAATACTGCAGTTATATGAGAAAAAAGGGGGTCATTCTAAAATCCGCTTAATCACAAAATCAACTGCATTTGCTTCCAGTGTTAACAAAACCCTTGAGAAAAAATAGAGCTTTCATGTAAGAAAGTACTTCTAAACAGAAAGTTCCCAGAAACTGTTCCTTAAAAATAATGAGTCAGAGTTTGATTTAAATATTTGACACATCTTCAAATCAAATTACATTATTCTTCAATGCCATCCATACCTGTGTTTTAATTTGCTTATTGTAACTGACACAGCATAGACTGTAATCACTAAAGCCATGACTAAAATTTATTAGTATTTTTGATACCCTACCAGAGTTGGGAAAACAAAACCTTATAGTTCAAATGGAATTCAGTAGAAAGCTAAACTTTTCAAATGAGAAAGGTTATTATTTGTTTGTTTGTTGGTATAAGCTTGTTTTACAAGTATTCAGTATAAATAGACATGTGACAGTAATGGGCAATGCTTGACGCGATATCTTCTTTTCTTCAAGGAGAGAACAGTGATGCAAAACTGATAAAATTAAGGTCATCATTTTTAAAATTTTGTATTTATGCTTTTCTTTATAATTTTGTTTGTTTTAATAATCTTCAGTGGAAATGTGTGTAATATTCAAATGCCTTGGTGGCATTAGAATTCATGTGGCAATAAAAAGTTTTCCTTTGTGATAAAATATTTGTATCATAAAGATTAAAAACAATGGATTCTAAAAAGTAAAAAAAGGTGTGTTTTCTGGAGAACAATTTTGATCTTGTGAATTTTAGCAGATTGTGGCTATAGAGATCAGCCAAGGCTTTGGTTTTCTGAGTGTCCTCAAGAGTTTTGACACTCATTCTCTTGTGATCATGAACACAAGATATAATATGTAATTATTTCCAAAGCTGTTTCTTAATCAAATTCTTACTGGTTTCTGAAATTAATATTTTCCTATCTAAGCAATATGGTCTATCACTTTCAGATTCATTAAAATTTTTGAAATCTTGATCAAAACTATTATAGAATATTAGATGTCTAATGTTCACAAAAGGAGAGGATTTGAACTTCATTTAATTACCTAAAATTATTTAAAAGTCATAGTTTTTGCTACATAGTTTTTAAAAGCATATGGTATTTTCTAAGTAGTAAAACTTAATTTTATGAATTCAAAAATATGGGCATTGCATTCTAGAACACTCTTCCTACACAATTATTATAAACAAAGACTGTAACTTACTGTCAAAGCTAGTGTCCAGCAGTCAATAATAAAGTAGTCAGCAACAACAAAAATTTGTGTCTGTAGCTATGTATCAATTGTCTATCTATCATCTATCTATCTATCTATCTATCTATCTATCTATCTATCTATCATCTATCTATCTATCAGTCTATCATCTTTTAAGTATGTCTAGGAACAGTTAGTTAACCCTGAGACTGCAGAGGAAATCAGGAAGGGATTAAAAAGAAACTCAATTATTTAGAATAAAGTGAAATTGAAGAAACTACATGTCAAACTTTCCGTTTGTGATTAGATAGTACTTAGATGGAAATTCACAGGTTTGCATAGTTTTCAGGCAGTTAGTTAGCTAATCAACTCAAGAAGTTAGACAAAGAACAATGGTATAAAAGCTAAGGAAAAATGAAGAAAGGAAATTAAGAGGATAGAAATTACTGAATTTAGAGCAAAATTTTGAGATAATAACATCACAATCTATGAGAGTATCAACAAAGACCTCAAGAGTAATGAAGAGAGAAAAGAAGAAATTCAAGTTAAATATCAAAAGGATAAATAATTGTTGGTTTAGCACAAATTCAAATTGGCAATACTGTGATTTGAACTCAGGACCTACACTTCCTAGGCAGGCACTCTACCACTTGAGTCACTCCCCTAGCTCTTTTGCTTCAGTTATTTGTTAAATAGGGTCTTGCATTTTTGTACAAGTTGACCTTGGACTGCAATTCTCCTACCTATGCCTTTTGAGTGCCTGGGATTACATACATGTACCACTGTGCTTTGATAACTTGTTGAGATTTGGCTGGCCTTGAACAGCAATCCACTTGAACTCCACCTTCTGAGGATCTGGGATTGCAGGCATGTGCCACCGTGCCTGACTGAAATGATTATTTTGACTAATTTTATTCCATAAATTTGAAAGACCTGATAAATAAATGGTTGTTTTTTTTCAGCAATAAAAAAATACCAATACTGGCACAAGAAAAAAGCAATTTAAATTAAAAAATGATAAAGAAATGGAACTCATAAAAAGGCAACTAAAAACCAACACTAGTCCTAGATGGTTCTGCAGGGAGTGACGTCAATAATTCTGTGAATAAGGATTATTACCCCTCTTTAAAAAACAATCATTTTGGAAAACAAAAAAATAAGGAAGAAAGATTAACTTATTTTATAAAGCCAATTATAATATTGCTACCAAAATAATATACATTAGGTTTTTAAAAAGTCAAATTTTCTTATAAATACAGATACAAAAATTCTAAAATCTAGCAAAAAAAGATATTTGAAAATGTAACAGGATGCAATTGCAGGTAGGGTTATGGAAGTTCAGTGACATTTGATCCTATGCTATAAATTTAATAGTTGGGCAACCCTTCAATACTTTTCTAATCCTTCAGGATACAGAAAGTGAAAATTATGGATGAATTTCTTTTTCACTGGGGAAACAACTTTACTTTTCAATATTGCATGATTTGGATAGAGTAATTGTGGTATTTTTCTTCTGCAACACCCAATATTTCATGGTCTATAGGAAATGCACTGGTGAAGTTTCTTAGGTTTTTTTTCCACTTAAAATGCAATAACAAAACCTATCTGAATAATAATATGGTTTAAATTAGCATTTTATTATAACTGTATACATGAAAGAGCTGGAAGAAGAACTTAGTAAAAGCATGCTAAATTATTTAAAATTTCAACCTTTAAAAAATCTAATAAATTATGTCATTTCAATATAATCAAGTTACAAATTATAATAGCCACCATTTAATAAGTGCTTGCTTCAGCAGATCTTGTACCAAATGATTCTATACACATCATTTCTTTTAATCCTCATAGAGCTGTTATGAAAAAGGGTGTTTTATCCACCCCTTCTTCACAGATGGGGAAATTGAGTGCCAGAGATGTAAGTAACTTGCTTTACCACTGAGTCCATGCTTTCTCTTGCCTTCTGCAACCTTCTTTGGACAAATACAAACATCAATATCCATTTTCTGTTTGCTCCTCAAATTTTATTGACTTGATTTTTTTTCTGGTCTCTAACTTTTACTTCTGTTATTGAGGACTATTTACCCATGAGTTAAACTTAGATTAGCAAAAACAATACACGATGCCTACCGGTGCTTATTATTGCCAAACACTTATCTAAACACTTAAATTTACTCACATATGCACAACAAGCATATCTATTAACTCATATATTCCACTTAATTAAAAAACAAACTGAACACAAATGGTCAAGCAACTTGCCAAGGTCACAGCAGCTTGTAAGTGGTACAGTGTATTTTCAAACTCAAGGCCATCTGATTCCATCTTTCCTGGCAAGTTTGACTATGTTTTATGATCACAATTCTGCAGGTTTCAGCCAAAAAATACAATCTTTGTGGTACCAGAATGTGAGCTTCAAGAGGGGCTTTGTTTTCTTCACTGATATATCATTATCCCAGAGTATAATAGATGCTTAGTAAATGCTTCTACTTGTATGAATGAGTGGGTGAGTTACTGAGTCTCAGCTATGCAAGATACTGTACTCAGTAACTGTAAATACAAAAATACAAACCAAGTATGAGTGGTGAATATGTATTTATTGCTTTCTTGGTGCATTAATATCCCTGTATAGAATAATTGCCTTCGCAATTGATATGCAAGTATTTCTACCACTAGAGGAGAAAAATCCCTAGTGTGTCTCTTTTTTCATGTTTTCAAAGTTGAGATCTAGTATAGGTAGTCTTTTCATAACTCTTTTTTTAATTTTTAAAACTTTTTTGTTCATTATTTCACCTGTGGATACATTGTTGGGTCATTTTCTCCACCCTGCCCCCTCCTCCACCTTTAGCCAAATGAAGAAGATTTTGGTCACTAGGCAGAAAGCAACATTCCTTCTACTTTGTACGCTACAAATTTCCTGCTTCTGGATATTTTGTATTACTTGTTTGCTCTCTTTACACCCTCTACCGCCCATATTTCACTACTGTCAGGGTCAATTACCAAACCATAGGGGCAGTTAGTCAGTGGCCCCTGCTATATATAGAAACTGTCAGAAAAGTTTGCCTCCTGGTGGTAAATTGACATGCCTTTGACAGGAACCCTTTCACTTTTTCAACTAAAATTCAGTTGGCTGCCTGGCATGTCTTCACTATTTATCAGTCCAATCTATTCTTAAAGCATTTTTAGCAGTGCTTCCATAAGTTCTCACCAGAGCCAGCAAAGCATATATAGCATAAAACAAATTGTAACATTGAAGAAGATAATTAACCCTTTTCTATTATTTTAATGGTTTTAAGTACTGTAGGAGAATATAAAGACTTTAGCTTTAAAAATAATAGAATCTTCAGTATAAATACCAAGTGCTTGATAAGACTTGTGATGGGAATGATTCAGTTTTCCATTGAGAGATTAACTCCATTCTTCAAGAATGTTAAAGAAGGGGAGGGAGCTTAAGACACAAAAACTTTGGAGTTATGATTTCTAAGCCATAGATGCACATCAAGGTACTGGGGAGAGAAATGTGAAACCTAAGAAGAATAGGAGGCTTCTTCAAAGAGTGATAATGCTACTCTAAGTAGGTCTTTTTTTGTGTGTATATATGGTGGGGGAAGAGAGAAATTAATCCTTATTTTAAATAGAAAGAAAAAGGAGTATACTACAAAATAGAATTCAATACTTGCCTAAAGCTGTAAGATAGAACCAGACTTTTGAGCTTGTAG